ATTAAATAAATGAAACTTTTTTAACAGGTGGCAACTCTTAAAAAAAAATAGCCTATTAACCAATCTGGCCCATAGGCTATCTGCGTGCAAAATTTCATGTAAATCTGTGTAGCCGTTTCCGCGTGATGATTTCCCAAACATCCAAACATACAAACTTTCACATTTATAATATTTACTAGCAATACCCGGCGCGCGTTGCTACGCCAAAGAAAAACACATGTATTTAGAGATTTGAAATTGAATACCTTTTTATTTACCTTAATGCTAAGGGATAAACAATATTTTTAGTTTTTTTCATTTGGTGTGTAAATATATAAATTTTGTGGTGTCCCAACTCGTGAACAGGCGACGTATAATTGGCCATGTGAAAAGCACGAATTTTTCAAATCCAAACCCGCAATAGTTAATGATTGCCCTTGTGCTTTATTTATAGTTATAGCAAAGGCAAGACGCAAAGGGAATTGAAGCCGCTTGAATTCGAACGGTAAATCGTTGGAAATCATCGGTATACGTGGAATCAGCACATCTTCGCCTTGAATTTACCGCTGATGATTGTTGCCTCGATCAAATTCGGTGTTAATTTTTTTATTATCATTCTGGTTCCGTTGCACAGTTTCGGCGCGTTCAAGTTCCGAATAAGCATCACTGGTGATCCAACTTTTAACGCCAACGAATGAGGAGGCATTCAAGGTTTCTCCAAAGAATTAAGAAATTCAGTTGGGTAATTAACAGCTTGATCTTTGTCCATTACTGTATCAATCGATTTATATTCGACTGCTTCTCCTGGAATTTTCAATTGAATTTGACCGTTTAATTTACTAAAATCATCGTTGATCGTTATGTTCGGAAATACTCTGTCGATGACGTCTTGAATGCTCTGCTGCATTTGACAAAAGTTGGACGGAAATGATATCTCATTTGTTGTGCGATCAATATGAACTTTACCGTTTCCGATATCTAAAAGTTGCTTTGAAAATATTTGGGCAGACGTATCTTGCAGCAAATGCACTCACATATTTGTTGTGAGCGTAATTTTTTCGACATAGTTCCACAGATGCGATGCCTTTAAGCACGCGTTCAGCTCGTCTGCAGGCGAAGATCGTGGTATAACGGGTAATGTTTGACGAAAATCACCTGCAAGAAGTATAAGAGTGCCTCCCATCGGTTGCTCTTTTCCACGAAAATCTCGCAGAGTTCGGTCAAGTGCTTCGAGCGATTTCTTATGTGCCATAGTGCATTCGTCCCAAATTATAAATTTGCACGTTTTAAGGACTATGGCCATACCAGAGTTTTTGCTGATGTTGCATGTAGGTGTTTCGGTCTGGTGCAAATTCAATGGAAGCTTAAGTGCTGAATGCGCTGTACGTCCTCCATCAAGTAGTGTTGATGCAATCCCCGATGATGCTACTGCTACTGCAATCCCATTTCGCATTCGAACTGACGCCAATATTAAATTGATGAGGAAAGTTTTCCCGGTACCTCCTGGAGCATCTAGGAAGATAATTCCGCCATCTCCTTCGGTTACACGTTGCATGATTTTGTCATAAGCTTTTTTCTGATCAGCAACTAAAAACTCGTTTTGCGTTTGCACAAATCGTTCAAGCTGATTTGCATCAAACTGCTGTTCTCGCATCAAGTCTCTATCTTGTACAGCGTTTCTATCTCGTGTCGGTGCTGGCATACCGAGTTGACAAAGAGCTTTGTTGTTGATTGACATGCATAAGTCCTCCATTAATATTAAAGCTTCATTGAAAATGTCATCCGAATATTCCTGACTTGGATCGCTTGCACGTGCTTGTCCTAGAATATCTTCACTGAGGCTTTCACGATGCATTTCCCACAGTTGTCGAGGATTCGATGGTGCGCATGTTGTTAAAATTATCGCAAACAAATTTCGTATTTGCTTTGGATGGCACGTGAGTGATGCTTCGGTCAGAGTTGTGTTCCAATTCTGATCATTCTCAAGTAAGCCCAGTTTAAAGCACGCTTCTCTGTACGTTTGGAATTCTACTCCGTCGATGGTTTTCAATGCAAGGAATGATGTCGGCCCTTTGATTGTATGCAGCAACAACCGCAAATAATAGCACTCGGCGTTATTTGGATGAACAGTATACACACGTCCCAATGCATCGGACGAGTATATACCAGGATGCTCTGGAACAATTGCACCTCTTTTTCTTCTGTTGAACTTTTTTGTCGATGTCTTCCAAGTATAATATTTGGGCACATCTTGATACAGCAACGTTTTAGCAAAATTTTCGGATGTACCCAATTCGAAAAAAGCAGTCAGTGTTGTGTTTTGTGGCTGCTCTATTTTGCGCATTTTCTTCGGTGAAGTAAACCCGCTGACCATTTTCCAAATGAACAGCGAGATTTTGAACCGTTGGATATCGTTCGTGAATATTGAATGCAAATATCCGCCATACTGCTTCGTTACTGCTGATGTAGCGCCCTGTTTGATATTGTGTGATCTCATCACCTCGATTTGCTAATCCGAATACTGCCATGTCACTGCCCTTGTTAACATATTTATAAACATATTTTATGGACTTTACCGAATTACAATACTCAACATTGATGTGAGCATTAAACATTTTTGAAAGTAGTGGCGAGTATGGCACGATCCATCTATTGTCTATGTCGATATCTACACTTCGCATCTTAATAGTAGTTGTGTATCCACCATTAGTGGCGCCTATACAGAGGATATCCATCACCTCCAGTTTGAGTTTCAGTAATCAACTCACGTGGATATCGCTTTGTGCATTTGCCGTTTTGCATACATGGTGAATTAGGATTAAAAGTACCGCATGGCCCATGAATCATATTTTTCTTGATTATTTCAAAAAGAATGGGATCTTCGGCTTGATTTGGAAGCTCGGCTGATATAACGCTATCAATTTATGTAGGTATAATTTTTTGCTTCAACCAAATCAAAATGTGAGCGTGTGGTAAGCCTCTCTTTTGCCATTCAATTGAGTACATCCAGCATCTGGTTTCTCCAAAAACAAAATTCTTCGTGATGACATTCATAAGACTTGTTAGCTTTTGCTTGAATATTCGAGCGAGAAGATCATGTCTGTGCGATGAGCTCTGGCCTGCAAAAAGCAATTCGGTTATTTCACTCCACGATAGATGGCAAGTGAAGGTGATGAATAGGTCTGGTCGTCCATACATTCGAACGTACGTCATAGCATCTTGCCCGTATTCGTGCATGTGCCGCGGGCTTCCTGTATATGTTATAGGTAAAATTACCATTTGTCCAATGTCAGCAATGTTTCCATCATTAGCAACTGCATCACGTAAATGAACGTATTCTTCAACGCGCAGCTTCTTTTGATTTAAGCGAATGAAAAGAAGACGTTCACATTCGACTTTAGCGTACATGTCCACAATAAACTGTTGGAATAATTCACGACATTTTAAGATATGATTGGATTCGTTTCCACGAATCATAATGCGGTTTGCATAATAATCCATGCAGGACACTTTCTTTGTCGTCGCTTCACTTGTACTGGGGTCGACTTGCCTGATGTTGAAATGATATCCTTCTTCTCCATGGGGAAACAGCACTGGATATTGGAGTGCATCATACGATCGATGTGTTTCCGATACTCTCTGCACATTAGCATTTCGCCGGTGGATAATGATGTCACGTCGATCGAATTCGGTGCCAACTATTACAATTGCAACATCCCCTGTTACTGGAGCATTGAAGCGCCTTTCATGTTCACCAGCAGGAGCTTTGTCTGCTCTAATAACAACACTATAGTCATCTGATGGCATTTGATCCAGAGCTGTTTTAAAAAGGCGAATCAAACTGTTTTGTTCATGGAACATTGCCTGCAAACTTGAAATGATCTCGCGTCGGAACCCAGAACTAATTGCGCAACGCTTGCCTACTTCCAGTGCATCATTTCCAGTGAAATAAATTTGCAGAAATTTCGCATCTTGTTGTGGCACTGCGAGCAATGAACCGATTTTGTGGTATATTTGGCCTTGAACTTTGAATGTTGGCATGTAACCGCCTTCAGATATAATTTTCGTTGCTCCAAACGAAGTCATTTGAAAGCAAGAGTTGTACTTGCGTATGTTTTTCAAAAAGTGGTTTGAAATAAGAGTTGTGCCAGAAAGGTAACTAAGTAGTGGTTCAGGTGCCTCAATTAACGATGACAAAACTATTTTACCTTTTGAACAACACATTCCTGGTGATTCCTTTGCAAACTTCAAAGCATGGCAATGCAAACAAACTTTATTCATCGGTCCAATGGCGACATCTGCATGATTTTCGTAGTCTCTGTTTCTGTCATAATTGTATGCCGCCAACATTAAATGTGTTCTTTCTCTTGAATGGGTCAATCGTGATAGATTAGTGCGAAGCCGTTCGTTGCGTTGTTCGGGATTTTCAGAATCTCTGGAGGTTGAAGCTCTCACACGATTTTGTTGTAGGCGAGATTCTCGTTGTTCCAGGGTTTCAGCGTCTCTGGAGGTTGAAGCTCTCACACGATTTTGCTGGAGGCGAGATTCTCGTTGTTCCAGGGTTTCAGCGTCTCTGGAGGTTGAAGCTCTCACACGATTTTGTTGTAGGCGAGATTCTCGTTGTTCCAGGGTTTCAGCGTCTCTGGAGGTTGAAGCTCTCACACGATTTTGCTGGAGGCGAGATTCCCGCTGGTTTCCCGTTTCCACATTTCTCGAGCTTGTCTCTCTGTTTCGATTTTGTTGAAGTCGGACATTTCGTTGATCGTCCGTTTCCGCCGCTCTGTATTCATTCGACTTTTTTGTTTTGGGGTTTTTTCTTCCAATTGATGCTTTCTTTGGTGGCATGATTTTATTTTTTTGTGAATGTAAATAATAATACTCTGTATGTTGAACTGATCTCAGATGAAAAAGAATTCACTATCTTTTGCGCTGTGTCTACACTTGCTATGAGCGAATGTATTAGCTATGCGACCTTATATTTATGTAACTCAGGCAAACAATATAATTATGTTCTCTGAAGGTACCTTCCACTTAAAAAGATTAAAAATCCTTATATTTTATCTATGCTAAAACGTGTGTAAACAGCAGAAGATATTCTCTGCAGGTACTTTTCCTGCAATAAATTTAAAAAAATCGGTTGACTTTCGCAACCTCTTATTTATCTGAATTAGTGTATACAGAAAAATTTCTTTGTACGTAGGTATTTTCTTCAAGAATGTTGTGGAAAAATCCCAAGATTTATGAAGCCATTGTTTAGGTAAACTTGGGAAACAAAATTTACTCTTGTAAACAATATTTAACTACCTTCAACCGTAAAATAAAAACGAATGCTATAATTCTGCAGGTACTTTCCTCCCAAATAATTTGAAATTTTTAAACCCTTTATTTATGTAAACTTAGGTAACAAAGTGTTTTCTATGTAGGTATTCTCTTCATGAATGTTGTGGAAAAATACCAAAATTTATACACCCAAATTTAGGAAAATTATGCAAGCAAAATCTCGTATGCGCATTAGGAAAAAATATTACAACATTTTTTATTGCAAATTTTATTATATTTTTTTAAGCCTTATTCAATAAGGAACAAAAGTTATGCATTAATATTGAGTACTTTTGTGGTTTTTAACTATTAAACAAATTCCGTTTTTAAATTGCAACCTGGTGAAAATTTACACAACTCTGGCATTAACATACATACTGTTGCCTTAATATAGAAAGGCCCTATCTGACATCGTCGCTGATTTACAAAAAGTCGTAACTAACTAAAAATCGAAAATTTACGTTTTAATTGATTATGATGCATTTGATCGAATTATGTAGCCTCACATCATTTTATGCAATAAAAGATTTTAGTTAGTTACGGCTTTGTGCATTTCAGCGACGATGTTAGATAGGGCCTTTCTATATTAAGGCAACGATACATATGTTCACATATAGATTTATAGATATAGGATTTTCTTTCTGGTAAGCTTTCGGTTTGACATACTTTGAAGTTTATCACACTCTAAATCTTTGGTATTTCTTAAAAATATTATCCGATTTTATTTTCTTAAGTATGTGGACACTCTATACGATAATTGGTCTTAACTGAAACATTTCCCAATAGCTCCCGTATCCTGCGAAAAACTTTTTAATACACACATTTATGTCATTTAACTTTTTTTGAAAGAGGTGGCAACTCTACTCAAAAATATGTTTGGCGTGAATCTTTCTCCAATACCTTCCGTTTGATACCCATATTGCAATATTTGATGTGAATTGCATTAGATATTCATTATTATTAACTTTTTGACCAGGTGGCAACACTTATTAAAATATTTTTTGATGTAAATTTTCTTAAATATCTTTCTCAAATACCTTCCATTTGATATCTATACTTACTTTACTTGCATATTTAAATAAATTTTATTTTTCTGACAGGTGGCAACTCTTTCAAAAATAGCCAAATTTCACAGGAACACTCTCCGAGTTTCTATGAAGCTATCCTGGAAATTTTAACAAAATCGGCTGAATGGTTTCGGAGTCTATAAGCTGCTTAGATACACACATACATACATACATCCTTTTTTATATATATAGATAAGATAGGTATAGGTATGTGCCTTTTAAAATAGAAACCCCTTAATGATGTTTATGAGTTCGTAGTATGCACATATACATATCTACAATATTAGTTAATTTGAAGCATTACTAAGAACAGAGCTATACAAGTAAACAAAAGTAAACATGTGTGTGCATACTCATATACGTAGTATAATCGATATTTTTATTTCCATTCGGTAGTTTTGGAGGAGCACTAAGTTCACGCGCTAATGCAATTGAGTTTTATGGCGTTTCATGGCGTTTGAAGTTGGCGTTCAATGAAGAGATTGGATTCACTTTTGACCTTTCTTAATTCAGTCATAATTTGTCTTTCAATTTACAACACAGTCACTCTTTTCTACCTATAATACACTGATGCATTTTAAAATTGCACATCAGCTGGTATGCAATTTATCTTTCAAGAAATTTGGCAATGTTTT